GAGACCTATGTGCTCCATGGTGTGCTGATAAATGGTCCATTACAGGCTTTCCAAAACAAAGTAAAACAAAACAAAATGTCCTGATTTGTAGTGCTTGCTCAGTTCTGGGGGGTGTAAATAAATACTCCCACCATGGCCACTTTCACGCTAACAAAGTGAGGTCATTGAACATGAAGTTGGGGAGAGAGATGCACCAGCTCACCACCCGCCAATGGAATCAGAACCTTTGAGGGAGGCCTGGGAACCTGCATTTCATCCTCAGGCGATTCTGGTGGATAATAACATTTCAGAACCCCTGCACCTAGAGATCTCTGGGGGCCTTTCCCATTCTTACATTGCTTCATTCTAATTATCTTCCAGGTTCTCACACTGGCTCTGGGAGCTGGGGAAAATTTTCCCTTTTGAGGGCATCTCAGAGGAAGGCCTGAGGGATTGATGGGTCGTTGCCCAAGTGAGTCAATGGTACCAGCCTGTCTGGTACCCTGGGGCGGCATTCACCTCTCCCTGTCCCTTGTGAGTGTCCTGTTCTGCCATCACTCCTAGAGGTAGGGCAGCAGTATCTTGATGTATATGTCTCAGGGATGCAGGAGGGGACCGGGGGACCTGAGGTTGCAGCTGTGGGCACTGGGATCCTGGCCCATCTCTCATTTCTCTGGGTGGGTTGACCTTTCCGCTGCTATCATGGACTTCTGATCTGATATCTCCATCCCCCGGACTGAGAGCCTGCCTGGTCATCAGCTATTTTTGTGCACGTCCCTCATCTTGATAACCTTCTCTGAGTAAGTGGAGGACAGAGTGGAGGACGCCATCTCTTACTTGAGATGCACTGAGGCAGAAAGCCCCATCACAGAGCCTATGGGAGACCCACCAACAGTCAGCAGGGCTCACACAGAAGCTGGGAAGATGGAGGTTGGGGAGCAGAAAGTACAAACTACTGACAGGGATGTAAATTCTTTCTTTAAGACCTTTCAGGGAAACCATTTTCACTCCGAAGGTAGGTTGCATATTTAGTTTAGAGCTAGAATGACCTCTGACTTACTTCCTCATGCTATAAAGCAGTGGTTCTTAGAGTATGACCCCCAGACCAACAGCATCCCCATCACTTGGGAGCTTTTTAGAAATGCAAATTCTCAGACTCAGAGTGCCCACCCGCCAGCCATTGCCTGACAACATGATTCCAGGTTCATTTGTGCGGGTTAAGTAGTCTTCTCTCAAGAAACCCTTTTTCAGTCCAGATTGCCCCACACGGTTGCCATGCTGAGCTGTCCTCAGACCACAGAGTGGATGGGCTTGTGTCAGCAGAAGTGGTTAGGGGATTCTGGGCTGGGGCTGGGGGTAGGAAACCATGAGAGACTAAAGAGATAGCCCCTGGATATGCAGGACTTCCTGGGCACTCTCTAGTGGCAGTGCTTGGGAGGAGGCCCAGGGCCAGCACAGCTTCTGCTTGGAGATGTCATGCTTAGTGTGGAAGCTTCAAGCAGTGGACAAGTTTCTGCACTGCTAAACTCTCCCCTCTTCTTCTGCAAGCCTGTTCTCCCAACTTCCCAGGCTCTGGACTTTGCTACTTGTCCTCCATCATGGCCCTGCCCTGTCTTCTTTTCACTCCCTCTCTTACCAGAGTCTTGCCATCATTCTGCAATATGGCGCCAGCTCCCTTGATCAGCACATGCTCTATACCACCTGAGGCTTGGGCTCTCATGCTGTGCCTTGTTGTCTGGGTCTTGTCCAGCTTCATCTGGGCCTGGAGGCCAAGCCCTTCTTGGCCAGCTCCCAGACAGTGCCCAGAGTCTCTGAGGAGCCCCTTACATAATCCCTTCAGAAGAGTGCACATGTGCCCTCTTCCGTTGACCATGGAGGGTCTGCTGGGCAAATTGGATTTGGAACTAAGGCTGGAGGTTGACTATTGACCTGGCTTACTGGACTATAAATCTGAAATCTTCCCTCCAATTAGATCGGAACTTGTCCTTCCTGAAGCAACGTGTTAAGTTGGGTGGAGGTGGGATCAGATGTTGGGAAGAAAAAAGAACATGGAATCAGACTAAAGGGGACCTTTTCCTGGTGCAGCTCTAGATCCTTCCTGAGGCCTCTTTGGTATAAAAAACTATCTGTGGTTGTGCCGCTGAGTGTATGTATCTCTCTACCTGTGTGCCTCTGTTTATCTATGAGGGTTCCCATGCATAGATGTGTGGAGTCTCCCTTCATCTCACAAGCTGCAAGGCCACAGGCAGGTGATTTAAAACATTCAACCTCCATTTTCTTTGCCTATAATGGCAATAATTATAACTTCTACAGACAACTACGGTGATAAAATGAAACAATGCACATAAGCCCCTTAGCACAGTTTCCTCATGCTCAGGTATTAGGCTGTTATCACTAGATGCCTTATACAAGTTACTTAGCCTCCCTGTGCCTCAGTTTCCTCATGGATAAATCAGGTATAATCTCAGAACCTGGTGTTGTTGTGAGGATGAGGGAGGTTGATATCTGTAAAGTACTTAGTATGGTGCAATAAATAGTGATGACAATGCAAGTTATCTTTCTGTGTATGGATGTGTTTGGGTGAGACTATCTGAGTTTGTGAATGTCTCAGGGCTGGTCTCTCTGCTTATGTGTGTGATTGCACATGTGTGTGTATGTGTGTATCTGTGTTTATGTGGCCAGGCACGCCTCCTGTCTCTGGGTGGAGTTTGCTGTTGGCCCAAGCCTGGACTCCCTGAGCCAGCCAGGGCCAGTGCTGGGGATGGAATTTCCATTAAGAATTAAGCAGGACAGCACTGTGAATCCAGGCAGGCCATGAGGAGGGGGTTGAGGGGGATAATGCTCCAACTCTGAGCTCCCTTAGGCAGCCTCAGCTCTGGACTGTGTTGGAGAAGGCCTCTGCCACCTTTGCCTTGAGTCGCAGGCCTTGCTGGGGCCATGGCCCAGAAGGATGGGCAAGGAGAGAGGAGTTGCCCCTATGGGCCTCGGTAGGGAAACTTGGAGTTGCTGCGGCCACGACTGGAGCCATGAGGCGGCCTCCCGAGAATGGAGAGGCGGCCAGCGAGGGTGTAAGCGGTTGGGGCCTATGGGGCCAACAGGAGCCAAGGCGGCTGGGCTGTGCGGTACGTATCTGGGAAAGTGTATGTGTGTGTATGTGTGTGTGCTTATGTGTTGGGGAATGCAGGGGGTGGGGGTGGGGGGTATATTCATACCAAGTGTCCTAAGGGAACGTCTAGTAAACCAAGTCTGTTCCTCTCTTGACCTGAAACCCAGGCACAGAATATGGTCCTGGAAATAAAAGATCTCTGAGGCTTTTTGTGAGTATTTATCCTATTTATGACCTAAGCCTCATTCCATTTCTAGCATACTAAAAAATATCTTAGCTTTCTAGGTATTTTTACATTCCTGATCTCATCTCTTACTTTCAACAACCCATGAGCTAGACTGAGGCTGTTATGATTGCCAATGTAAATATGGGAAAACTCAGCCCCAGAGAGATTCAGTGACTTGTCCAAGGATACACAGCTAGAATAGAAACAGGAAGCAAAGTCAGGTCTCTTGGAGGTCGAAGTGCAGACATTTTTATTACATTACCTGGCCTACCAGAAATGGACTCAGAGAAAAGATTCTGCAAACTTTGCCCATTTGAGGAAGGCGGTGGCTCCAGTGTTCATGCCCAGCCACGTGGGTTTCTAGGGCCCAAGCTCTGTCCCTGGGCCCCGAGATAGCGTTTATTGAGATAGGAACTGAAGATCCTCTGAAGAGACTGGGGAGTAGAATCAGGCTGTCCATGGATGGATGGAGTAGAAGCTGGCTTGTCTGAGGGGAATGACTTGGACACCCACAGAGCCTGCAGTCCCCAGAGAGCTGAGGCAGTTGCGTTCATGTCAGGAGCTGCTATGTGTCCAGGGCCAGGGAGCAGTAGTCATTTTTAGCCAAGGCCTGAAAAAGGAACAGGAATATTACCCTCGAGGCAGAGAAGGCTGAGATGGAGCTGGCCTCCCTCTCCCTGAACATGTACCACGAACATATTGACATAATTTGCACACAAGCGATTCAGGTTAGATGGTAAGGAGAACTTCCTGCCAATGAGAACGTTCAAATTTGGGAACAGGTCCGAAGGGAGGCTAGGGGCTGCCTTTCCTACATGATCCCCAAGAGTGAGTAGAGGAGTAGAGGCCCTCCAGCCCTCCTCTCTTCTCCACCCTCCCCCCACCCCCTTTTCATGGCAGGAAGGAGGGAGTTTGATAGAATGACCTTGAAGCTTCCTTCCAGTTCAAGAATGTTACATTCCTGAGCTTTTGGGTAGGAATCAGCCTTCTTCTCTAGACTTTGCCATCTGACACAAAGCAGTCCAGAGGGGAAGTTTGATGTGCTCCAAGTTAGGAGGTCTCAGCTACCACCCTTTGCCATTTTTGGCAAGCCTGTGATATGGAGGTCGGTGAACTTATTTGGGGACTTAGGTTCCAAAGGGAAGCACCTGCGGTGAATAAACCAAGTCGCATTCCAGGCGTTTGGGGGCTGCTCAAAGTTTGGCGGCTCCCTCCGCTGAGCATGTGAACCGCACCCAAACCCCTCCTTGTTTTGTTTCAGCTCCAAGGGAAACGATCACAGCGCATTCCCTTCTCCTCTCCAGATGTTGGCATGCTGGGCGCATGTGGGCACCCCGCTGGGACTGCTCTGAGACTCTCGGGTGCTTACCCGTGGTGACTCCCGCCCAGCCAGGGGTGAGCCGGGTCTCTAATTAGACTTGACCGCGTCCCCATTCCAGTACTCCCCACAGAGCGCGACGTTTCCACTGCCGAGGGGGCACCAAAATAGCTTCGCGGCCGGGCTGAGACTCCAGGCAGCAGAGGCTGACGCGGGACAGAGGCTTGGCAGGGAGCGCGCTGTTGTTGAAGGTCCTGCAGCGGCCGAGGAGCTGGCGGGCGGGGGCAGAGCGGGGCGGGGGCGCGGGGCAGCGGGCGGCCCCTCGGGCTGGGCCGTCCCAAGTGCGGCCACTTGCGTACGGCCTCGGGAGCCCCAGCTGTGCCTGCCACCTCTGGCCGCTGCACGCCACCCCTCTAGCCCGCCCGCCCGCTTCCTCAGAGTAAGTAGACTCACTCTGCCGCTGGATTCAGGGGCCGGTGCTGGACCTACCAGCTTAGCCTGGGAATAGAGCATGTTTGTGACGATTTGGATAGTACGTATATGTGTCAGTGTGAATGCCAGTGGGCAGGAGTGTGTCTGGGCCAATGTGTTAGCATGTGGAACTTTCTAGCATGAGTCAAAGTTGTGTGAGTGTGGATGGGAGAGTGTGTGATGTGTGTAGGGACTAACGTGTAGGTAGGCGGCGAGTGTTCCCATAGGTGGCACATGTGTCTTTGTGGCCTGGGCAGCCCTGTGTGGACCTCGTCTGCTCCCCTGTAAGTGCATTCGCCTGTGTGGTAGGAAGGCTCTGTGTGGGCTGAGTGAGCGCATGTGTAGATGGATAGATGTGTGTGAGCGAGCTGATGATGGCAGAAGCCGGGGGATAAGGAGTGTTATCTGAACTCAGACTTTTAGGGTGACCTGACTTGTCCTCGGCTGGGGTGTCTTCTCTGTAGGTCATGTGGCTTTGGTTTCTCAGGACTGTAAACAGGGCAGGCACTCAGAACCTTTGCCCAACACTGGAATGGATGGGGCTCTGAGTAACCCCAGCTGGCTGGCCAGGGTGGGGAGACAGTTTGGGGGGACCCCACTATCACATGAGAAGAGACAGGAGGACAATGAGAGGGATGAGCAGACCATACACCCACAAACACTCACAGGGCACCTGTACCCACACATTCACGGCTGCTCACATGTATACATATTCTTGCCCACATATGCCAGTCTTGAATGCATTTCCTCACATACTTGTGGACAATGACATGTATGCAACAGGCACCTACCTACCTGTGTAAAATATGCATCTGTGCAAACATGCACCCCTGACTTGACCCACTCTCAGCCTCCAGCTTCCACTTTAGGTCCTCTTTAGCCCACATATGGCACCTTGGACAACGATTCCAAAATTGTCTTTGGTAGGGAATATCTTAAGTCAGAGGCTTTGGCTGGGGGGTCAGGGCAGGTGGTGATACAGTGGCTTTTAGGGTGTCCCATTTGATCTTGAACTGAGGATCATGGAGCCTGTGGCTTTAGTTTTTGGGCCTTTGAGGCATCTTTTGCCCTCTTGCAAGTACAAAGGCCAGTCTCGCCAGGCTGAGGCGGAGCTCACACCTGTAATTCGGCTCCAGCCTCTAGCTTATGCTCTGGAGTCCCCCTGCAGCAGAAAAGCAGTGGGCCTGCTGTGAGCGGGGAGGAGCCGTAGGTGGTGCTGGGCTGATTCCTTCTCTTTGGTTTTCATCAATCCTATTTTAAGTCTCCCATCTTCAGGCAAAGCTGGAAGAGCTGGCCGTTGCTTGCTCCCCTCCCATCGCCCAGTGGCGGCCTCTTTACTTGACAGAGCCTTGTTGTCCCTGACCTCCTTTCCCTGGGGACTACTAAGGACACACTAGTAGGTGTGGAAGAGGAGGTGCTCCCAAATATCAGCTAGTGGTTTGTATTAGTATTAGTATTAGTATTAGTATTATTAGTATTGCTTCTAAGTTTCTCCTCCTCTGGACAGGCTTCAATAAGGTGCCCTTATTGAATTCCTTCGGTTGGGAAGTTGGGAAGATGACTTGACTTACTCTTCCTCGGTGTTTATGGTTTGGTCTGAGGAGTACCTGAGCTCTCACCCCACCGACTCCCCTAATGCAGGGGAGCAGATGGGCATCAGCTATTTCCTGAGGGGGAGCTGGGATCCATGTTCCCCTGGCCTGATCCTGGGGGATGCTTAAATAAGGACAGGCTGTGGTCATCCCCGCAGCTTTCTTGCAGAGCGAAGATGGCAAGGGAAGGAAGCCTGCATGTCTTCCGTAACCTTCTTTTTTGTGGGGACCCCCCCCCAGCTACCTTAGGGTTCAAGAAAGGCTCTGGAAAACTGGTGGAGTTATGATGGCTCAGTCTCAGGCTGTTTCCCTATTTTTTTTTATTAATCAAATACATATAATTGCCAATCAGAATTTCAGAGCATCAATAAACAATCTCAGAGCATCAAGGGCAGCCCCACTAAGTTAACATAGTTCCATTTTAAAGGAGAGAAATGAGACCACAGAATAATGATAAAAGAATAATCACTGTTTATTGAGTCTTTAATATATGCTTTATTTCATTTACTTTTCACAGCTTTGTTATGTTAATAGTTCCTCTGAACACTCAAATTATTTTCCTGACAAGGAAATTGTGGCTTAGAATGCTCGAGGGATTTCTATAAGTCTGTGTGACTCCTGAGCATTTTACATAATCTTTGTGTTTCCCTTCTTACTGTGACTGCTAGGAAGCTCTCAGTCTATCATATTGCTTCATTCTTATAACTGTGTTAATTAGAACGCTGGCTTTGACTTTTAATCTCTGCTTTAACAGCTTTATAGTGTACACATCTGTAACTGTAAACTCCCATATCCTTTGTAGAAAGAGATCAGAATAAGTGAATGAACAACCAACAATTGAGCATTCTATTGGTCTGAGGATGGGAACCATATTGCATGGATTTTGGGGGAGATATCTCCAATTTCAAATATTTTATCTGGTTTTCAAACCATATGTCTCAATTCTGGCATCTGTATCTTTGGATTCTGATTCGTGACCATGTCTTGGGGCTTTTCTCCTAGCAGCTCTGGGAGATAATGCCCATCTCTGTGCTGGCTCAGACAATGGGGATTGTTGGGAATGAATTGGGCCATTGATAAATGCCCCCTGCTCTGAGTGCTTCAGCTGCCAGCTCTCCCCTCTCTCAAAAGCGTGAGTGTCTGGGTGTCTGAAGGAGTTTGACCCTTGCCTTAAGCTTGGCCCTTGCCCCACGGTCACCCCTTCCCCATGTGACCCTGCCTAAGCCTAGGGCTCTGCTGGGAGGTCCGTCTGTGTCTTTTGGACCTTAGCTCTGCCTCTGCTAGCCTGGACCACGTGGTCTCTGATCATGGATGTCCCTTCTGGAGCTGAAGCTCAGGACGAGGAGTGGGGGCTGTGGGATGTGGAGGAACACATGAGGGCCTTTTTCCCCCACCCCAGACCTGAAAGGCCATAGGCTAGTCCTCACTCCTCTCGCCTTCCTGATGAGGGGGTCTCAAGTCTGCCAAGTGAGTCCTTTATCTCCTCTTACCTGTAAGAGATATGGGCCACCAGGGGAGTGTGAATGTAGGGCAGGGCTCTAGCCACATTGCAAAACTGGTGAAAGTTCTAATTCACTCCACCTCCACGACTGTCTTATCCTGCCCAAGGCTATTCATGTTTGGAAAAGGGAACAGTGGGGGCCAATGCTTAGCACTAAAGCGCACTTAGAAGGACTCTGATGGTGGTCTTTCAGGTATAGTGTTGGGATCCTGCTTCTCAGCATGCTGTAGGTCACCCCATGCTGGTGGCTGTGGCCCACGACCAAGACTAATCCTTTTAGAAGTGCTTGGTTACAAAGTGGGAAGGAGTACTCATTGGCCTGAGGCTGTGGGAAATGCCTGGCATTGAGTGATGTGCTCGTGGGTTGGTGCAGGTGAGGGCTTTGTTCTTTCCCAGGTAAATGTGACCTCAAAAAGGGAAAACTAAGACTTGATTGCATCTCTGCTGAGGATTCTGGTTGTTTCTTGGACTTTGAGTTCAACCAAGTAAAAACAGGTTTAAAATCCAGCAAGAACATGTTGGGTGGGACTATCGAACTTCTGTGGGGCAAAGCTTACTCACGGTTATCATTTATTTAGTATCTATTAAGGCCAAATTTTTGTTAGGTTCTTTGCACCTTTTGTTTAACGAAACCTCTGGAACAGCCCTGCAAGTCAGGTACTACTATTTTTTTTTTTTAAGATTTTGTTTGGGAATTGGGGAAGTGGCATAGCCAAGTTGTTGTCCTTCAGTCTTAGTCGTGGAGGGCCCAGCTAGCTCAACTCCAAGTCCAGTCGCCATCCGGCTGTCTATTAGCAGCTCGCTACCGCTCAGCTCTAGGCGCCGTGTTCAATCTCAGTTGCAGGTGCGTACAGCCCACCATCCCATGTGGGAATCAAACCGGCAACCTTGTTGTTAGGAGCATATGCTCTCACCAGCTGAGCCATCCTGCTGTTGGCAGCTCAACGGCAGCTCAGCTCGGGTGCAGCTCACTGGCCCATGTGGAAATCGAACCGGCAACCCTGTTGCTCAGAGTTTGTGCTCTTAACCAGCTGAGCCACTTGGCCGGCCCCAAGTACTACTTTTAAAGCTAGGGAAACTGAAGCAGACAAGGTTAAATGATTTGCTCGAGGTCAGCATCAGCAATGATTCCATCCCAGGCCTGATGCCAGAGTCTGTAGTGAATGTCCACCGATCACTTCCCCAGTTCAAAGGCCCTGAAAGCAGGAGAATTCACTCTTTTGGGCCAACTGGGGAAGGGCCAAGGCCCTGACTTCTCTGGCCTCAGGACCTGAACGTCATCAGCATCATTGGCCTTTCTAGCTGGAGGCACAGAGGTTGCTGCTCTGTGGGAAGCAGGGGTGGGGTGGGGAACGCCTCCTGGGCCAGTCAGGGGTTCCCCCTCCCCTCTTAGGGTGGGTAGCACTGGGATTCTGTGGCTCCACTTCTCCCCTGGAACAATCTCTGTCCTGGGAATGCAGCCTTCACCCAGGCTCTGTGATCCAGCCAGCCTGGTCTCCCCTCCCCCACCTCTAGGGTCCCCTCAGTGCCAAGCCCTGGGGGAGTCCTGGATCCTCTGAGGACGTCTCTGGGCAGACCAGACCCCATTTGGCGTTGATGCAGTGTCTGCAAGAGTCAGCAATTTGGCTGGGTAATTGTGTATAGTGTTCGCTTTCTGCCGGAGAAATGGAGGTTTTGTCTTACAATTCAAATATCCTGGGTTTGGAAACCATATGAAATGAAGCCTGTGGTCTAGGGGTGAGGGCTACGTTGTGGGCCTGTGTGTGGTGCTGGTTTAAAAGATGCCGATGAGAGACAGGATAACTGACTCAGGCCCTCTCGTGTCCTCTGACGAGGGGTCAGAGGTGGGCCTACATATGGTAATGTACAGGTAAA